TTTGACAATATAATCAATTTTCTCAGCAAATCTAAACTATCTAATCTTATCTTAATGTCGCACACACTAGACTAACAAAAGCCATTCGATTAAATGAAAAGGATAACACCATTGTTGGAAAGGAAAATAAAGAGATAGAGTTAGAGAGAGCATGATGGTGGCTTAGATAATAAAGCCATGTTGTTTGTTAAGGGATATGAGTTCATAATACTAGAGGAAGAGGTAGAGGTGAGATAGTAAAAAGTGAGAAGAATGAAGGTTAGGGATTTTGGCGTGAGAAGAAGGAAGGGTTAAAGAGGGTTAGGGTTTTTCAATTGCGATTGGAAATTTTTTTTAATTCAGTTAAGGATGATAAGTAGTTCATTATTGGATATTTAATAGGCCACATAGATCCTATGAGGAATCCTAGCCATGCTATCATACTTTATCACACAACACGTCGACTAAAAAAGAAATTAAAGCCTAAAAAATTCGCATGAAATAATATGATTACCGAAGTTTAGTTCATGACATATCTATCCAAAAATAAAAGAATGTGATAATATGATTAAAAAGTATAAAATTCATGATTTTTTGGTACATTAATTCAAAATTCTAATACATCAATTTGACTTAAAACACTTGGACCCACACACTATTTAATCTTATAAATATATTTTATTCAAACTAAAATAGAGTGACAAGACTAAATTGATGTGACAGTTTAAGGACCAAAATAAAGTAGGAAGGCCTTAGACAAGGAAAAAAAATAAAGTGGTCAAGCAAGTCCATCACTTATTTTCAATTTGTTAAGCAAGGAGGCCTTTGACAAGTTTGTAGTTGTTTTTAACTTGTTGAACAATGAGGCTCATGATAGTGTTGTAAATAGTTACCTGTGCATTGGAATATTCGTAACAAACTTATCGCATGTTTCATTTTTTTTATGTGTTGAAACACCCATGACAAGCCTACTACAATTGCTCTTGTGCATATGACAATACAATTTTATAAGTGGTATATAAGTCTGAATGCGAGATCATTTGTTTTGTAAGTCGCTTATTCTAGGTCATTTTTTTCTTACTTTATTTTTCTTTACTTTATCTTGTTATACAAGGTTGTACAAACATCTTTATTGGCAAGGTCGTTTATGCAGAAGGCTAAATGTATATGTTTAATTTGTCTATAAAAATTAAGAAAACTATAATTTTTAGGCCTAACTTTTTTTTCTTTCGGCACTCAATTAGTAAATTCTTCTATTTTAATGTCTAAGTTTTAATTTTTTTTTTTAGCGCTCACAATCACCTTAGAGTATGAAATATTAGCATGTCCGAAATAAATTGTTACTAGGCAATTTAAAAATGCCAAATCAAGACTTTTCTTCTTGTTTCCGCACTATTTCGCATGGTCGTCAAGAATTTAATTTTCTTATGCATTTCTTCTATCTTTAAAATTTTTCTATGTGCCATCAAAATCTCTTTACACCATGATTTTAATTTCAAAATGTCTTTCTTCAACTCAATAAGAAATATAATCCCATTCAAATTGGATTCAAGCACCGACATTTTTTATTTAATTATCAACTAAGAGAATTTATTTATAAATTATAAATTATCAAGTCGTATATAATTTATGTGAAATATTTCAATTAATTAAAAATTATCAAATCTATATATCCAACTCATACCCCAACTCTTAGCATCTCTCTCTACACACACACACACACACACACACACACACACACACACACACATATATATCAATGATTAAATCTTCCGCATCATCCCAACTTATCATATTGCTTCACCAATAGTCCGAGATCATCGGTAAAAGTAAGCTAGTCATTCGTTTGTATATTAATAATAGAAGTTTAACTAGCAGCGTAATTGATGATGAAAAGAAATTATTGAAAGGAATTAACAATGATGTTGTTTTGAGTATAGACAAAGAAAAGAAATTGAGTAAGAAGAAGATCAAGAAACCAAGTTTATTTTTCAATTCTTTAGGTTGGATTGGAACTAGATGAATATCTTTTCTTTGGGGATTGTTTTGTATTTTGTTTCCCTTTTCGGCAAATGTGTCCTTTCTAGTATTAAGTGGTCCTTTAGATTTTTTTCTATTCATATCTACATTTTTTTTCTTTACTTATTTAAGACTTCGTATACTTTTGAGACTCATCGTCTCCAACCTCCATCCTAAATTTTGTTTCGGGTTGTAAATATTTGATTTGATTTTAATCATAATGTTCGTAACGTATATGATGAGTTTTGGGATTCAAGAGATTTTTTTGACTTTCAACCTTTCTCTGATCGCCTCTATTTTCCATCTTCAACCTCAATTATCTCTTTTCGATGAAGGTTTTCTCTCTCTCATTCTCTAGATTCATTTTGCTTTATTGCTCTCTTTTCTCTATTTTTTTTCCTTTTTACCTTGCTTGTATTGGTTTTTTTTGTTTTGTTTTTGTTTCACCACTTTTTATTCACATGCTATATTAGTGAGTTCATATTTTTTTAGATGTGTTGCCTTTTACATTATTGTATTTATTATTTCGTTTTATTTTCTTGTTTCTTACTTTGAGTTACCTTCTCAACTTGATCCATGTTGTTTTCTTATGTTGTTTCATTTTTTTTAAAAAAAAATTTTAGTGATCGTGACCTTGCTCAATTATCATGATAGGATGTAATCTTTAGTCCTTTCAATTTTTTCATCGGCCTTCTTTTTTCCTCGCTAAAACATATTATTTTTGTTCATTGTTTGTTTACATTTTGAATTATTTTTAATCTTTATTTTTTCACCATGCCTTATGTTTTCTATTGGTTTTCTCAAATGACATTTAGATATTTTTTTTCTTTAAAAAACCTCATGCCGTAATGATAGGATTGATCTGGTAATCGATTTTTCTATTGGGAACAATTAAATATTTAGCATTTGTTTTTGTCTTTGGTTTATTAACTAAACTAGTTTTTTTTAGATAGCCTATCATAGTTTATACGATGTTTCTTTTATTTCTTATTTATTGACAATTTGTCTCCAAACTATTTTCACAATGCTCTTTGCTCATTGTTGTTTTTATGTTCATTCATTTTGAAAATTTTTGTTTATTGTTTGTAGTTTTAGATTCCATATATATGAGCTCCTTTTATTAATCTTTTTCAATTTTTTTATACTCTAGGTCATATTGCTTCGCTCAGCTTTCCCCAATCGTGTTGTCTAGTCATTTTATTACTTTTAGAATGAGTTTAGGTGAGTTTTATCAATTGTCTTTTTCATTGCCATTTTGTTATCTTATGCATTTTATCATTTTATTGCTTTTTTACATTTGGTTGATCTTTGTTAGGAGTTGTTATGGTGTTTTCATTAGCATATATGTGTGGCTTATCATGTTTGATGTTGTCTCGTTCGTTCGTTTATTGTTATTAGAATATAATTGACTTCAAACAAACTTTATGATGTACTAGGAAGAATAATCACCTATATTTTTTCCTACATGGCCAATTATTTGTTTAGAACTTATTTTTCTCATTGTACATGAGGTGTATGTTTGTTCTCTTAATCGGCTACTTCTTGCATGGATTTTGTTTCGACCACTTGTTTTTGTTCCCTTTTTTTTTTTAATCTCGGTGTCTATATGCATTGCTGCTATATGAGGCTATCGATCATGAGTTTGCATGATGCTTGTACCATTAATTATTAGTGCAATTTTTGTAATGGGATTCTTATTGTCGGTGTACCATTGGATTTGCATGTGTTGTTCGGTTTTTCTTTGCGTCTCTTTCTTATTGATAGCTGGTTTGTGTATTTTTTCCTTAGGCTTTACAACTTTTTTTTTTTATTTACATTCGAGACAAGTTGTTATAGTTTGCACGATCCTTTTTTTATTTACAATATGCTATTAGACTAGCTTCATTTCGCCTTTTACCCATTATTTGTTTTTCGCACTTTATTCATTTAAAAAAATGTTTTTTGTAGTTTGTGGTTTTAGGTATTTAAGCTAATTATATTAATATTTTTAAGCTTTTTTTTCCTACTCCAAGTCATAGTGATCCTCCTCGACTTACTCCAGTCATTTAGTTCGGTCATGTTATTATCTTTTTATATGTGATGAGATGTTTTTTTTAATCAATTGCTTTATTTGTTGCTCCGTTATTGTATCGAACTTTCTTGCATTTTTTTTCTCACTTGCTTTCTTATATTTTATTGGTCTTTGATGTAAGTTGTTATGGTACTTTCATTTCGATATTTATGTTGCTCACCGTCTTTGTTGTTATCTCGTTAACTTGTTTGATCATTGTTGATTTTTGAAAGAAACTTTACGATGCATTATTATGAATGGTTGTCGATAGTTTTTCCTTGCAAGGATAATTATTTGTTTAAAACCTAATTTTTCTTGTTGTTTTAAAGTTTGGTTTTGGTTTTCTCAACTTGCATCTTCATCTATGGGTTCCGTTTAGTCCACTTATTTGTGTTTCTATTATTTTTTTGTTTTTAATTGCAATATGTGAAGGCACTACTACTATACCGAGCTATTAGCCATGATTCTCCTTACTTCTAGTACAATTTAATTACAACTATTTTTTAAAATTATATTTCGATTGTCGGTGTACCACTTCATTCATATGTGATTTTTGGTTTTCCTTTGCATTTTTTCCTAATTAATAACTTGCTTTTTAAAAAAGTTTGTGACTTTTTAGGTATCATATTTCTATTCTAAATTTTGTAATAAAAAATCATATTTTTATTTCTCTTCATACCATAGCTTGCCTTTTCCCATTTCGATGGCTAAATTTTGTGAGTAAAATGAGTAAAATTATCTTTAATGAAATCATTGCATCGGTATGGTATTTCAACATCGATATTATTAAAATGCTCTCATATAAATACATTGATGTTATTAAAATGCTCTCGTATAAATATTTGTAAGCTCTTATAACCTTTTGTCATACATCTTTATATCTCGTTTATGCATGTCTTGACATAGTTTTATTATTTAATGATTTTTCAGCTTTTGATTTATTCCATCTCATATGGAACAAGTTGTTATGCCAATTGGTTCTAGAATTAGCATTGAAGAACTACTAAAGAGTTGTTTTTGCATGAAACCCCAAGATTTCAAGGTAAGTAATTTTCTTTATTTAAGAAAAAAATGAAGCAATTAAAAAAAAAGGTTGTGGTGTATTTTGAGTTTGATCCACTAGTTATTCAGTTTGAATTGCTTCATCTTTTATATGACAACATATGCTTTTATGAACAATGACCCTTATGCATTAATCTTTTTGGGAAAAATGCATATTGCTTTTTGTTAAACTCGTTGTTTTGGTACTCATTAACAATTTTTTAAGTTTTTTCTATTTTATTCATCACTATCTACAACTTCTTCCTCCTTTCAACTCTTACATGTCAACTATCTAATGCTTACTTATAAATTTTATATCAATATATGTTCACACAATCTTTAAATATGTGATTCTCCTTTGCTATATTTTCACCGTTGTCTATAACTCTGTCACACATGTTGCAATAAAATTTTCCACTTCAATTTACGTCTTTGATATAGTAGAAAATGATGGCCGCATGCCTTGGCTAATTGGCTAGACAACCAATAATAATTTAATGACTATTATCTCCTATTTGAGCCATTTTGACCCGTAAATGGCTAAGATATGACCTTAATATTGTTTTTTTTTCTTTACCGAATAAACCAAAGATTCTTTTGTCTTTCAATTCAACAAACAAATGCAAGAAATTATGTCATTTAATGTTATGATAAACCCAATATAGACTCGCAAGAACCACTAGTCAAATGACAATTCAAAAAATGTTAAGAACAACTCGTCGAATATGTGTACAAAAGAATAGTAAAAACATTGATGAAGAAAAAAAAAGCCTTAATTTGCTCAATTGTCCAATTGACAAAACTGTTGCTATAAAAAAAAAAAATAGAAACCGTGTTTGCCATTAAAATGTCCAATCAAAACAATCTTATACCACACAATAGTTTCAAAAAGATGCGTAATGGCTAGAATTGACATGCAGTTGACACATTTCGATTTACATTACAAGCAAATGAAAAAAATGTTTGTTTATATATACATATAAATACCACCACATACCTTCGACAACAAAACTCATCTTGCTATTTCTCCATTAAGAGCAAAGTTCTTTTCGAAAACTTTTATCAACCATTATATGTGAAAAGAAAATGTACCCCGTAACTCTTGTAAAATGACCGATCACCTAACTACTCATTCTCTTCTTTTTCAATATGTAACAAATTATTTTGAATCTCATTATTTATTTACTCGACATCTTACTCTATTCTAATTCGGATCTCAAAGCACAACATGGAACATATATACAACAAACACTTGAGGAATAAAAATAAAACAATAGTTCAATCACTTGCTCTAACTAGCTATTCTCGATAGACATGTATTTTATTTTCTTTCACACTCTAAAAAAAAACAATATTCTTTTTTAAAATAAAGAAAAAGGAATTTCTTTTTTGATTCTAAATAATAAAACAAGGATAACATGATCTTTTCCTACATATAATTTTTTTTTTTGTTATCTTACTATTCGTAAGACATTTTTTTTTTTACAATTAAAGTCTCGATAATACATTTTGACACAACGAGATAAAAAAATTTATGAGTAGATATACTTGTCCAAAGTACAAAATGCTCTGTCTAGATCAAGTCCTATAGTTAGCTTCTATTAACACTATTATTTTTTAAAAAAATTCTTTATTGCACACCAAATGCATTCTAATCGCTCTATGCACCTAAATTTTAATATATCAACTCTTTTTAACGATTGCAAGTGTTGCATTATATGCATCGTCAACAACTTTATTGCCAAAACTTCAATGTTGATGCTCGACGACATGCTATGGAATTCTTTGGCGACACCTATAAGAATTTGGTTTATAACCATGATTTCATTTGCTTATATATTGTGCTACTAATTTTCCTACACATTGTTGGCCATGATAAAATATATAGAGTTTGCCTAACATATTCTCTAGCATTGTCCTAGGTCGTCATTTTGCCACAACACATGTCTTTTGTAATAACCAAAAAAACAAAAAAAAGCACTTTCATTTTTTTTACTATATTATTATTATTTAAAAAAAACAAATACAAAAAACCAAAAAAAATAAATTAAAAAAAAAAGAAACAAATTGAAGTCTATCCCAATTTTTAAAATTCAGTTTAGCTTGGTTGGATCACCTTTCAACAATAGAATTTGAGTTCAAATTGAATAACTAAAAAATCTGAATTTTTAGGTATTTGATTTAGGATGAAACTTGAATTTGAAAGTGTTTGATTGAAGGTAAAACTCAAATTCTCAATGTCTATAAAAGGGCGAGTATCCCGAAAAAAAGAAAAAGGAGTGAAAAAAGAGGAGAAAAGGGAGATAGAGGAAAGAAAACACACGAGGGGAGTTCGGTTTGCATAAAAAAATACATCACAAACAAAAATAGGAATTTTGGACTTGGAGCAGTAGCACTCGCTGCAATCTTTCCGGAATTTGGATAGCTCCGTGAGTTTCTTCATAACAACTGGGTTTCAAGCACTCGCAAAGGAGTCAAACGCAACCACACGAAGAAATTCAAATAGCATAAAATTCTTGTTGGCTTCTCTCATTTTGTTGAAGCACCACTCGGGTAAGTCATCTCTCTCTAATTCTTTTGTTCTTAATTTCTACTAAAATGATTGCTTTAATCTAGAAGAGAAACATGACGAGTAGTTAGGTTTTTTTTTTTAGAAGTTGTTCGATTCTTGCGGGATAAAATTCATTCGAAAAATAAAAATGAGAAAGTGGCTGGTTTTGATATCAAAGGAGAACGGGAAAAGGGAGAAGAAAGAAGAATAGGAAAAAAGGAATTAGGGAAACGGGTGCCAAATTGTGGTCCGTGGGCTTGGTCTTGTTGAGAAGTTTTTAAATAAAAAACGTGGGTTAGGCTTTAGACAAGAAGCTGGATTTATTTTAGTCCGGACTAACCTTAGGCTTTTTTATAAAAAAAATGCAAAGACGCCAAATTCCCTTTCCCCTCTCCTATATATATATAAAACAAGGAAGAAGGAGGTTGGACTCCAATCCAGTCCTCCCCGTCCTTTCCTCCAAGAAAAATAAAAAAAAATGACAAGAAAAACCGTAGCTAGTCCGAGTTTTACGGAAGAAAGAATGAAAGTAAGAAAAAATGAATAAAGGCATGATAAAGTCGGAATGGGTCCATTTGGTATAAAAAAAAAAAAAGGGAAACGAATTGGGTAGGAAAGAAAATTATCATGGGCTACGGGTTTTTTTTGTTCAAAATCATTTCCTTTAATATTTTAATTGTTCTTTTTTCCTTTTTTCTTTTTTTTCTCTTTTAGCCAATTTTTTTTTCTTCGTCACCTCTTCCCGCATTAATTGAGGTTTTATTTTTTTTCTTTCTTTCTTCTTTTCTTCTTTTTAATTTTTTTATTCGATTAATAAAATAATAAAAAATAATAAAGTCTCAAATTTTGGCGAAGCCTCCTACTTGGTAAGGACCGACACCACAAAATAAAATATATAATAAATAAATAAATTCGATGAAGTCTCCTATCTAATAAGGACCGACATCACCCAAAAAGAATATTCAAGATTTTCAACGAAGTCTCCTACGTGAGAGGGACCGACGTCATCAAAAATCACCTTTTTAATTAAGACGTCCCCGACACGTCGGTTGTGTTAAGGCTTTAAGTGGATCCGATGTTTGAACCGACGTGTCACCCAATGAAAGGGACCGACGATCGTTTCAATATGATGTCACGCTCAAAACTAAAAAATTCAATTTGTCTAAACAAAAAATGAGAGATTAAAATTCAGAAAATAATTTGATGTAAATAAAATATTTTAGGAGATAAATTTAGAGCTAAACCGGACATGGTACCTTTTTTTGAAAATGGCGCTTTGGGTGATCGATATCATTCCAAAAGCGTAACCAACTCCTTACTATAGAATCTCCGAACCGAGTGTCCGTTTTAGGTTCCTAGTTCCTTAAATACTAAGTGGTGACTCCAAACTCCGTAAATAAACTTATAAATATTAATCACATTTAGAAATTTAATTTTTGGGAGTCCCGTCCGACGTCGGGTAACGACGAATGGCAACTCCACTGGGGACTTTGAGTTAGGCCATAGATTTAGTCCATTTAAATTTATTTCCTTTGTTTATTTTTTGTAAATTATTTTTCAAGTAATTTATTTATTTTTCATTTAATTTTGAGTTATTTTTTTTTCTTTTATATATTTTAAATATTTTAATTTTATGTAATTTCTTTTTCTTGCATTCATGTACATATTTAATCTTGAACCGAGTTGGATGCTTATCTTGAATTGTTGCACACACCATAAAAAAAAAGCTTGCAAAAGCTCGGACCCGAGCTGAAACCCTGCTAGCATTTAGATAGAGAGATTCGAAGGCAAGTATGACAAAAGTCTACCGATGCTCTTTCGGACTCTCGTTTGGATTGGAACTCACCCTATGCATAAAAAATGGTGGAATAACCTTCCCCTACCTCTTCATGCATAAGGTTAAGAGGCTGAATTATCCTACCGATAATTTAGACGGTTCGAAACTTGAAAAGACTTCAGGATTAGACAAGCCTTGCCTATATCCATAGAAAGCTAGATCTTATCCATTAGGTTGACTCGATTAAGTCACGAATCATTTCCAAATGATATTCGTTCTAACCCTTGATTTTTGTAGGACCTTAAATAAAGGAAGGTATCTAACCTGAGTTCAAATCATGTATGTATATATTGTATATTCATTGTACATATGTTCTTTGAGTTTTTTTTTTTCGGGATTTTGAAACATAGGTTGCTCCACCAAAGCTCAATTCCCCCACGCATCCACAACACTAGATTAAGGACTCGTCAAATGGAGAACGAGGAGAGAGCACGACAGGAAGAAATTTGTCGGCAAGATCTTGAGTCATTGAGAGAAGAGATGACCCAAATAAAGGCTTTACTAAAGGAAATAAGGGGAGGTAGCTTAAATGTGGGACGAGAACAACTTGAAATGCCACATGATATTCTATTTCCCAATCAATCCGAGCCAACGACCTATCATACGGCATTTCATGTTAAAGCCTCACGTCCGGATGGAGCATATGCCTATCCAATGGACCCTCGAGTCTCGCCAATGCCACCTATGCCTACTATGGATCCTGCAGAAGAAGCAACTCAAGGTTATAAGATAGTTGAAGGATCGAGTACGGACAGATTAGTGGCTCTCGAAGAACGTCTAAGAGTAATAGAAGGGGAGACACTCGTGATCCTATCAAAGCCTCCGAGATATGTTTGGTGCCCGATGTGGCAATTCCAAAAAAGTTCAAGGTGCCGGATTTCTTCAAGTACACCTGGAATCCAATGTCCCATGACTCATCCGAGGGTTTATCGTAGTAAGATGGCGAAGTGGTTCATGAAGAAAAGCTGCTTATACACTTCTTCCATGAGAGCTTAGGTGGACCGACACCGAGTTGGTATATGAGATTGGATGGGTCCAAGATCGGAAAATGGAAAGATCTACCCGATGCTTTTCTCAAGCAATACAAGTTTAACATGGAAGTGGCTCCAAACCGTTCGGATCTTCAAGGTATGGAGAAAAGAACTAAAGAAACCGTTAAAGAGTATGCTCAAAGATGGCATGAGGTAGCGGCTCGAATCCATCCACCATTGCAAGAATATGAGTTGATCTCAATATTTTTGAATACTTTCAAAGCCCCTACTTTGAGTATTTAATTGGTAATGTTTCAACCAACTTTACCGATATTGTTATCATAGTCGAGAGGGTGGAGCAAGCAATTAAAGCTGGAAAGATCTATGATAGTTACGAAAAGAATGGAAACGAGTGGTAATAAGAGGATAGATGGTGAGATATATCGAGTTGAGACCGGATCTTATCGAGGGAGTAATAGAGGAAAACATGTAAATCATAAAAGCAACCCCCAAAGACTTACATTTGCCTACCATACCCCTAGCCTAACAAACACCAAGAACCAAACATACCTACCAAATCAACCAAATCCATCCTATAAATCTCACCAAACCTATCAAACAAATCAATTCCCTCAAGCTACTCCATATTTTCAAAATCCACCAATTCATAATCAAGATCATAAGAAAGAACTCAAACAACTACTACCCTTACCTCACTCATTGAGTGAAACGTTTAAACACCTAGTAAGCATTAGACAAATCACTCCAGTCCCTACTAACCCAATGCGCCCTCCTTACCCTCCATGGTATAAAGAAGATGAAAGGTGTGAATATCATTCTTGTGCGGCTGGGCATAACATCAATGATTGTCCCGCCTTCAAGTGGAAGTTATTGGACTTGATCAAGCAAGGTTGGATCGGTTTCGACAATGATCCGTATTCTTCTAATGTGAACATGAACCCCTTCCTAAACCACGGGGTTGTTAATACAAGAGATGAGGAGATCGACCGAGTCCGAAGTTATGGAGAAGATGCGTGTTTACAATTTGCAAGTTTGTTTTTGAATACTATTTTCATGAATATTTTGGCTATGCATGAATTAAGTCGTATCTTTGAATGAAATTCTACTTTCTGTTATAATTCATATTATTTGAAATCAAGAGATGTTCATTTGAAAGTATTATTTGGCATTGCATTTTCTCCCATTAAGGAAATATAATGACGAATTCATTCAAAAATTTTCATAAAAAAAATGATCAAATTTCAAAGGATGATAGATGTATGCTAGAGGCAATTCTTCAATTCATGAAAGCCATGATACACCTTGCTAAAAACCTTCTCGAGCAGAAAGTAATTGGACAATCCTCCATTTTGTTGAAAAGAAACCAAAAGAAAAAGGAGAAATTCATTTTTATTTCTCTAAACTGAACCCTTGAAGAAAATTTTTGCCTAAGAAAACATCATAAAGCTCAAATGAAAGACTAAATGATTGGTGTCTTAAATAATGATGAACAATATATCCTCAAGTCATGATCTTAAATAACATTCAAAGGAGATTAGTGTCTAATGACATAAGGGAATCGATCTTTGAGATGAAGAAAGGCCATCTTTCATAAATCTTACAAAATCTTTATCTCTTGTCGTCCCACTTTGAGCTTGATGATTTCTTTCATAATAACCCAAACTGGGATCACCCCTCACATCTGGGGGCAGATTGTACAATCCATGAATGATCGACGAAACTCTCAAAATTTTTATAAAAAAAAATCCCATCAATGATCCTAAAAAAAAGAGAAAAAAGAAAAAAGAAAAAGATTACTATAGTACCGAAAACAAAAAAGGTCAAGATAAACAAACAAACAAAGAGAGTCGAGACTGGAAAGTAAAGTTAACGATCAAAATGACAAAATCCATGTGATAAGCCTAAAAGGAAAGTTTTTCTCATCGCAGTTCAACTAACGACAAAAGTGATAGAGTCCAAGAGACATGGCCTAAAGAGGTGTTCATGGACAACAAAGTGATCCCATGTCGGAAAACCCTTAAACACTTTTTGAGCATTTATATCATTCTTTCATAAGCCCAAACCATAGCCTATATTATGTGCTTATACAAGCCCTTTCTAATCAAAGGCGAGTTCATTTAAGTTGT